TGCCTTATCAATATATACACTTACTATAGACCCACAAAAATTAAACATTAAAAAAGTTAAAAAAAAAAAAAGGGAAATGTGAAGATGGCTGTGTTTAACACTCACTGGCCCAGTCTGAGGTGTGATGTGTGAAAGAGAACTTGGTGGCCATTTGTCAGGTCCTTCTGGCCAACTGTGCCTTTCCACAGATGGCAGGCTGGGAAGATCCCCCTGCCCAAAAAGAATTCTGATGTGTGTAATTCTTCCATTAGAGGTTCATTCCTTTGGCTCTAGAATAGCATTTTCCACATTTTGTCCAGCAGAACACTTCTGTTAGATGCCAACAGATGCTCCTTGGTCAAACAAGACTGGGAGATACTGGATTAAACAAGATTAAATGGGCTTCCTTCCACAGGCCTTCTCAGAGCCTCGCTTCATATGCAATGTGTGATGTCACTGCTGTTCTGTGAGTGGGGCCTGAGTATGCAACATGTGACATTTCTCCCATGTTTGAGATCAAGAAATCCCAGCCTCCAGGGATGCCTACTAGGGCTCCCCTGGCAGCTTGGGAAATGAGGGTCTGGAAGACTGGCAGCCCTACTGAGTCTCCTGTGGGAAGCAAGTGTCCCTGGGAGGTGAGTCTGTGGGAGAATGAAATCAGTGCTGACAAGGCCTTGAAAGCGTGGGCTTGAGAGGAGCTGCAGAGGCAGTGGGTCTGAAAGGGAGAGGGCGAGTGTGGATCCAAAGTGATCCTTTTTCCAAGGAGCCTGGAGCCTGGAGCCTGGCAGAGCAGAGCTCCTTGCGCCCCCATCTCACAGCTGCCTTTCCCATGAGAGGACTCTCTCCCCTCTCCTTCTGCCCAGTGAAGCTCAGCCGCCCTGCGATCCAGGGCTCTATCCTCTCTCCATCCCCACCTTCCCAAGGCAACAGCACCCCAGTCTGTGTCTGGGCTTAGTGGCTGAGCTCTTGCTGCCTCTTCAGCCTGGAATGCCCTCCCCTCCCTCAAGCCCTCTCTGGGAAATTCCTACTCATCCTTTAATCGATTAGGCAGCTACTTACAGGAGGTGGTCCCTAATAGCGTCACCCTGCCCCGACTTCCCCACCCTCCTCCCCTACTCCCCAGGCTCAGCAGGATTCCCAGTCACTCATGGGAGCTCCTGTGACACCCTGCACTGCACGTCTTTATCGCTGCCTCTCCCCATGTTCTCGTGCTCCATTTCTGTCCCTCTAATCTGGGAGCTTCTTGAGGCGTTGTCTCTGTGTCTTTACATCGTCCCCTGGCAGGAGATAGCTGTTCAATAATTAATTGAATGAAGGAGACCCAGGCCTGGAGCAGGCCAGCAGGGAGTGGGTTAAAATCCCCTACATGTACCACTTTAAAGAGTTTCTTGAGTTAAAACAATCGATTCTCCAAGTTTCGAAACCTCATCCTTCTTCGCATTGCTCAGCTCCACGGTTCTCTGGTTTCCTGGAGGCTGAAGTCTCTCCATCCCTTGTATGGTCTGCTCATCCTGTCTGCCTTCCATCTGACCTGCTCTTCCCTCTGTTGCCATGCTCTTGACTGCCAGTCTGCTCTGGGCCACCTAATTCATGTTGTTGCTTCTCAGAAATCATGAATGAGCCTTGGAATATCAATGGCTTGGCCTTAAGTTTATGCATCCTTAAGTAGGAAGTAAATGCAAATGTCTTGAGAAGACAATCTAACTTGAAGAGTGGAAAGAAGGGTTGTTTTCCCATTTTGCTCTGTCGCCCAGGCTGGAGTACGGTGGCACGATCTCGTCTCACTGCAACCTCCACCTCCTGGGATCAAGCGATTCTTGTGTCTCAGTCTCCCCAGTAGCTGGGACCACAGGTGTGCGCCCCTATGCCTGGCTAATTTTTGTTTTTTTAGTAGAGACGAGGTTTTACCATGTTGGCAAGGCTGGTCTTGAACTCCTGACCTCAAGTGATCCACCTGTCTCCACCTTCCAAAATGCTGGGATATTTTTTAAGCACAAAGCTGTCTTTAATAATTCATGAGAAAGGGAAAACAAGAAGGAAACTGGAATCAGAGAACACAGAAAATTTGCTGTTAGCAGTGCACCCAGGGCTGCATGATGACTCTTCATGAGCTCCGGGCATTTTTGCCTCTGTGGGCCTTTTCTCCATTAAAATATACAACTGTATTGCTATAGGCAAGTACAATCTAAGCTGGGTTCATTATTATGGATGCAATATTGTTATATTATTTTTATTTTTATTTTAAAAAGATTTAAAACGTGTTTGAGCCCCTGGGCACTGCGTTTGCTGTGTCTAATAGCTTAGTCTACTCTGAGCCCACCACTTGCCCTTTTGACACTTTGGGTCGCACTATTCCTCCTGCCTAGAGTATCTGTTGCCCATCCCAGCCTGAGTTGACCCAGACCACCTGACAGATTACTACTCACATGCAAGGTCCAGCTCCAATGTAACTTTCATTAAATTTAGCAAATTAAAATACAGCATGCCCACTTAGATTTGCACTTCAGGCAAATTAGAAATATATGTTACTTGTTCTAACAAGCATGAGTATGTCCCACATGTCACATGAGACATACTTGTACTAAGAAATTGTGCCTGCTTATCTGAAATTCAGATTTAACTAGGCATCCTGTATTTTCTCTGGCAACCCTAATCTGTAGCTGTCTCTGATTCATTTTCCTTTTGGTTCTTCATCCCACCTGCAGCTCTCTCTGAGGCCTTCTAGAGCTCTCTCCATGCCTCTCCCTCCACATCTCACTTTCAGGGTATCATGCATAGACTCCTCCCTGCATCTGCAGTCCCATCTTCATCCCACTCAGCCACCGTGGGCAGGGACGTGGCAGTGTATTACTTGTCTTATACGAGCTTGCCCTTTGTTTCTTCCCCAACTGCCTATTTTCAGGGATGACTTGGTAGCATTTGGTTTTAATTTCATTCAGGATGTTGTGAGGCTGAGACTACAGATGAGTTAACTATTGTATGAGATTCTAGAAGTGCTTCTGTTAACACATGTAAGCCCCAAGAAGACACTTGGGGCTCAGACACTTCATTATCTGACGGAAAAAATCCAGAGGCCCTGGGCTGAAACCCACGCCCCCTCCCTGGGTGGACTATGAATGGAGGCATCAACCTTCCACCTCCAAAGGATTCTGGTGTCAGATAGTAAATCGGCCGTGGTCCAAGTAGGACCTTGTGTTTGAAGGGAAGGTCTTTGTTTTTGAGACATAGGTTCAGGAAATTCTGATTTTCCACCTCTATCTCAGGATTGGATTGATTCTTTTGAAAGCTCACTTTAACCTACTTCACATCACACTATCGCCCAGAGTGCCTTCTTAACACAGCAGAAAGCTGGCCTGAGATGATCTTGTGGGCACAAGCCACATAAGGCGTTCAGAGCCAGTATCCAGGCTCCTCCCCTGGTGCTCTTCCACCCTTCTCCCCAGAGCAGATTTCAGAACTGGGGGCCGGCAAACACGGCCTTCCCCCTGGGGCTCACAGTGAGGGGTGGCGTGCCCTCAGGGCTGCAGGTTAGCAAACCACCAGCCCAAGAAGGATGAGGGGAGCACGGTGCAGGCCCCCCTAGGCTGCTGAGGACTTCACAGCTCTCAGCTTATTCTCCTTTTCTTGGTTGAAGGAAGTTTCTAAAGTTGACCACTGGTTAATCATTTTGTTATTCATTCTCAGCAAGAAACCAGCAAATATTGCGCGCGCGTGTGTATGTGTGTGTGTGTGGGGGGGGGGAGGCTGTCCTCTGTGTGTGTGTTTGGAGAGGGGTGTCCTCTCAGTGGGGAGCTGCCTGGTGGTTTCTGCTTCTTATTAATCTCTAGTCCAGCTCAGAACTCACCCTGAAGCTCACAGGAACAGGCAAGATGGTCATCAGGTGTGATGAGAAAGAAGACAAAACAATGAGCCGTTTCATGGTCACAGCTACATGGGGAATTCCGTGCTTGGCACTCCTCCTGGACTGCAAAAACATTCATTGGCCTAATAAAGGCTCTGATAAGTTCTACGATTGTATTTTAAACTTTAGAACATAGGTTGATGCTATCTAACTCAGTATTTTCCAAAGTTATTTGATCAGAGAACCATCCTGTCCTCCTCCTCATTTTTTAAATTTGAGGAGCATCCTACCAGGTAAGTAATCCCAGAGACACTTTGGGAAAATGGCTCTAAAAAGGGAGGTAAGCATGAGTTTTACCATCTTGTGTTCCCACTTCAAGTCACTGACTTTGGACGGGAATTTTGGCTTGGAGAAAACACAGCTGGCCTCAGCGCTGCCCTCGAGCCTTTTCCAGCTAGGGCTGGCAGAAGGACTCTGAATGCCTGAGCCTACAAGTTGGTACCTGTGACTCCACCAAGTCTCCACACAGGGACAGCATGCATTGGGAAGAGGGGGCATTTCAGGCAAAGGCTAGTGCCACACAAATGCTGTCCATGGGGCAGCCCAGGCCATGCAGAAGAGCCACAGAGCCCCACGCAAGGCCACCTTTTGATGGTCACAAGGCAGTCTGTGACGTGACTCAGAGTTTCGTAAAAGCTGCTTCCTCTGCCTGGCCGCTCCTGATCTGTTGGCACTGTTTCTTAACTTCAGTCTTAACGTCATTTCTAATTAAAGCAAGCTCCCCGGTTAGTGTCTGTATCATAGGATCCCGTTTGTATTCTTTTAGCATTTCTCAACACATGGATCACTACATATTTTACTTTTTTGACTGTTGTCTATCTCCCTGCAAATAAAATAACTCCAGGAAGGCAGAGCTTTTTGCTTTGGTCACCATTAGAGCCCTGGTGCCAGGAAGAGTGCTGGCACAGTGCAGGCACACCATGAGAGTTTGTTGAATGAATAAATGAAGAACAATTTTGCAAGTTTTTTCCCTCCTGAGTGGTGATTGGTTGCTGGGAGTTGATGGGCAAGGCCACTGACCATCCAGTGGGCTGTGTGGTAAGAAGGGGATGATTCCTAATAAATGCTTGAGGATGGCTGCCTGGCCCAGTGCATGCGAGGAAGTACAGAAGTACAGAAAGCGATAGAAATGGGTTTTTATTTGTAAAAAGTTACAAAATGATATTGTACAAAAATAAAGTCTGTAGAGAACTTTGGTTGTATAACACAAACGACCAAGACAGATCAGAGAAGTCAGAACTTCCAAACAAGTGCACTCCTTACTGTATCAGATGGTGATCACAATGATAAAGAAAAATCACAAACTTTACCCTTTTGTGGATTTGGTGGAGCAATTTGCTTCCAATAAAACCTGCTTGTGGTGTGTAGGTGATGCTGGGAACGAGCTGTCAACACCCATTGGATCCTACAGATTTTTTGGGCAGGGACTTTCCATGGGGAGCTAGGGTGGGGGTCACTGAGGTTGAAGCCTGGGAACAGTGGCCACTGCACCTGCCAGGGATCTCTGAAAGGGGCAGATGTCCCCGGGGCCACATCCAAATTGCACTCCATGAGTGCCTGGATGGCTGGGGTTTGTCACTGTTTCGAGCAGTCTGACTTTCAGCAAGATCCCAAGGGATAGTGAGAGGGAAGACCTTTCCTCCATGTCCCAGGAGGGCAAGGGGAGCAGAAAGGACAGAAAAGGGCAGAACCATGAAGAATTTGGGTATTTTGGTGGGGAAGGGATGGGATGTCTGGTATCTGCTGCTTCTTGTTACTTTGTAAAATCAATCCGATTACTTGATGGAGGACGGTAGCTCATTTAACTGCTAAATCTGTCATAGTTTTGTGGCTAATAGCCACTATGGTAGTGATAGATCATCTCCTTGATGAAAATCCCTTTTATGAAATGTATAACAAGCTCTAATACAGGGCCTAGTGTGTCGGCTGCAAATTCACAATCTAGGGCACAGAGGAGGTGGCTGTTCCCACCCCATACTTCCTCCCTTTCTAACCTCTTTTTCTTTCTTTCTTTCTTTTTTTTTGTAGACAGGGTACCAGGCTGTCACTCAGGCTGGAGTGCAGTGGCATGATCACAGCTCACTGCATCCTTGACCTCCTAGACTCAAGTGATCTTCCTTCTTCAGAATCCTGAGTGGCTGGGACCATAGGTGTGCACTAGCATGCCTGGCTTTTTAAATTTTTTTGTAGAGACAGGGTCTCCCTATGTTGCTGCCGTACTGGCCCCGACCTCCTTCATTTAAAGGCAGCACACTCTTAAGTATGAGGCTCCATGTGTGTGGCTATGGCTGGCCCAGACGTGGCTTCCTCAGTACCTTTCTGAGCCATCTGCTCCCCAGTGAGCTGTCAGGTGCTCGGGTATATAGGAGCAGCAACTGTTGACCCTCGATGACAGCCCAGGGGTTGTATAGGACCTGGCAGACCCTATCTGTGGAAGGCCCCTGTGTCTCCTGGGCTGCACTGGGCAGCCGGCATATTCTCAGGAGGGTGGTGGGTGGGCAGGGACGGAGGGAGTTTGTAAAATGGTAGCTACCTGACAGCACTGTTGACATTACTTTTAGGTCAGCATTAAATCCAGGACTACCTACTAAAGGGAACTAACCTTTTCTACACATGGTTATGCATAGTAGAGATAGATATACGTGGAGGGGACCAAGAGCTTAAATACAGCAGGAAGTGGAGCCCACGACATTTCTGTTCAGCGATGGAGCAAGGAAGAAATAAAGCCAAGTGCTGTTGGTTTCTGCATGCTGCTCCAGGAATGGGGGCCTGCCCAAGATGCTCCACAAATAAAAATTGGGAAAAATGCTGAAATCTGTGGGGAAATTAATAAGAAATTTTCCTGAAAAGGTAAAGTAAGTGATTTTTAACTAGCAAAAAACTTTTTAATACTTTGAAAAGCATGGACCCTTGTTCCCAATTCAAATTTCTTTTTGTCACCTTTCTTTGCATTTTGTGAGCACATATACTTTGGCACCTTTGAAAAGAAACTTTAATAAATAAGGGAAAAAAGAGAAACTCATTAGTGAACGATAATAAATAACAATAACTTAAATCTCAATAAATATCTTCTCTATGTTTCCGTATCTGAAACAGATGCATTGCATCGAGTAGCTTCTCTGGTCACTGGTGACCACACATCAACGGAGCTGGGTATGTACCGTCTGTCTCTCTGTAAACCAACAGGCCAGGAGGCTCTCCCTGCCAGGGGGCAGCTGGGGGCCTTCCCCGCTTCTCTGCTACAAGAATGCTGCTGAAAACCACAACTTGTTTCCTGTTTCCAAGGACATAAAGGAAATACCTTCAGGTTTGGGTTTAATCATGAGCACAGCCTTTTTGATTCCTAGCCAACTTCTTCCCACCCTGCACACCGTGATGGAAATCAATCATCAACCACTGGCAATAATGCTGGTTGTAGTAAACCTCATGCCTCGACTTTCAAAGGCAAAAGTGATTATCTCTTGTATCTGCTTTTTTTTTCCTCTCCTTTCCAGGGTGTGTCTCCACTGAGTGACAGAAAAATAAACTTCTCTTAATTTCAGCAGTAAAACGTGATGACAAGGAGTGACACCAGGATTCCTGTTACCCTGGTGTCTTCGGACATATGAAAACAAACCACAGGAGATAGACTGGTTTGGTTCTTCAAGTGCATCCGCGACCACACCGGTGATCGGTTGATGGTGGACTGTATCAGCTGGAACGGTGGTAACAGCCAACCAGGAACATCAGCCCTGAGCTTCTAGTGACATCAGCTGCCATCCTGGAGAATCCAGAGGGCTGTTTTCTCTCTCTCCTGTCCAGTTTTCTGTAGTTGGATTTCCCTCTACCAGGCTCCCATGATGGCTGCCTTTCTCTTCCTCCTTCTCTTCCTCTTCTTCTTCCTCTTCCTCTTCCTCCTCCTCCTCTGCCTCCTTGGTCCTCATCTTCCATTCTGGGCAAACATTTCCTGGGAACCTTGGTCCCTTTCTTTGCACTGTAGCAGGAATGCAATACACAGCAGTCTCTGGAGCCGGAGTCAGATACATCCACACCTTTTAGCGGAATGCTTTTTTAGAATATGGTAAACCAGGTTATCATCTAAAAATGACAGGTCATCATCAAAGGCGATGGGTCTGCAACATGCCTTCCCTACTTTGTTACTCACCAGCTTTTTATTTCTGGACAAGTTTTTTAATATTTTGTCATACGTTGTCTCAGCTGCATCGCAGGAGCCACTGCAGTACCTAAAAATCAGTGCCTCCTTGGTTTCATAGCCCAAACCCAAGTCAGTGACATTTAAATGTATTGCAGTTAAGACACAACCCCGGTTTTTGCTCTTGTGGCCTTTCTGACCTTTTCCTTTGGAATTTGCCGGGTTGGCAGCTGCAGCTTCCCGATTTCGCTCTCTTCTAGAAAGCTCTGCCATTTGTTTATCTGGTGACCTTTTCAGTCTTTTAATGGTGGCTTGAATAAAATCCATGACATCATCGAACTGATCAGGATAATCCTCTGGCATATTTGCTGCAACAAGAAAAGAAAAAATGGTATATGAGACAAAATGATCATTTCAAGTCATCTTCAAGATCAAAGTGACCCCCTAAAGTCAGCAAAGATTGGACCCACAGCAAAACTATCAGCTGGTTAACCTATGGGACCACTGTAATCACCAAGAACAGAGGCAAAAATGATTTAGCTGGAAAAGGAGACTAATGTGGTGGTGACATACTTCCTCAAAGAAAACAAATCCTTAGAAGTGTAGTTTTCCTCTGAATAACATCCACTGTTTTTAACAAGTCCACACAGAGCTCGCCCTGAGCTGGCCAATCCTCTAGGGCCATTTTTCTTGCCTAGTCACACAACCTAGAGTCATGGTTCTTAAATGTGAGTGTGCGGGAAAATACCTTGGATATTGACTGCAATGCAGATTCTTGGCCCTACCTTTGGAGATGATGAGTCATTTGGTTTGGGGAGAGGCCAAGGAATCTGCATTTCTAACAAGCTCCCAAGGAATTCTAATGTCAAAAATCCTCACACCAAACCTTGAGGGACACCATCTTAGAGGGTGAAAAAAGTGAAGTCTTCTAATATGGCTACTTTCATCTGGAATACTGAATGCTGTTCCCTGAAACTTGCTTTGATCTTGCGTGGCTGACTGGGACAAGAACCATTCTGACAGAAGAAATGAAGAGCTCAGGAATGCAACTATAGTTTAAAACTTCCTTAAAAATCATTAAGGAACAGGAAAACAGTTTATATTTTACTAACGAAGAGACTAATTTACCCCTTCCTTTGAACGGCATGACTTAAAAAAAAAGCCCCAAAGCCCAGTGATAGCGTACAGTGGCATTTGTACATCAGAGCAATAAACGAAATGAGATGCTATTGTGGACAGAGCAGCCCTGCCCCCAGGGGTGAGGTCCAGCCTCTGCTGCAGGCTGTCACTGGGCTCCCACTGTCTGGCTGCAAGCAGGACAAGAGGCTCATCAGGGAGATCACATGGAGAATGGACGAGGGGACAGTGAGATGTCTGAGACCTTTGGTAAAAGTATGAATCAGCAGTCTTTTGGTGCTTTCTGCCCTATTTCAGCATTTGTTTTGGTAAATCAAGTAAGAAGAGAAAAGTAACTAATGGAACAATGTAATAAATTTCTAAATGGGTGGGGGAAAACAATTCAAACACCTATTTCTTAGGTATTAGGCCTTTTATGCCCCACTCACCTCATTTTTCAGGTCATTTATGTTTAGGATTGTAAGTGGCTTAGAGAAATATACCACAGAAGAGTTGTCAGCAAGAGTAAATGTTTTTTGCCAAGATTGTGTTAAAACATAAAAGGTTACATTATGTCTCACCCATGTCAAATTGTTTTGTCATAAATGTAACTTATTTAATTGTTAAAATATATCAGGTATCCCTTCCTATAAAACAAAACCTAGCAAAGGCAACTTAACCACGTGTGTGTGTGTGTGTGTGTGTGTGTGTGTAATATAGAAAACATATGATGTATCATAATGAAAAGACTGGTGATTGGAATCCCTAGAAAGCCTTGTTGCTATCTGAAATTTAGCATTGGCTGGATTAGCTGTATGGAATTCACAAAGCTGTTTCCACACCGGCTGAAGCCCTGTCACCTCTTGCCTAGACAAGAGCAGTGGCCCCTGAACTGGGCTTCATTCTACCCTTCCCCACCTTTGATCTGTTTTCCACCCAGCACACAGAGGGATACTTTAAATGCAGATCATAATCCCCTTGCTCAAAACTTTCCAGTGGCTCCCCATTACTCTTGAAGGAAAAACCCAAATCCACACTGGCCTTAAAGGCCCTGCCTGACCTGGCCACCCCTCTCCTCCAGCCTTTATTACCTCAAACCTCCTCTTCTGTTTCTCCTCTTATTCCCTCTCCTCTAGCTACCCTGGCTTCCTTACCATTCCTCAAACACGGGGCTCAGTGTCAGCACCACTGACCTTTTGGGCTGGATCATTCTTCATCGTGGGAGGCTGTCCTGCGCACTGTAGGATGTTTGGCAGCATCTCCACCCAGGAGAGGCCTGATACGGTTCTGCTGTGTCCCCACCCAAATCTCATCTTGAATTGTAGCTCCCATTATCCCTACATGTCATGAGAGGGTAACTGAACCATGGGGTCAGGTTTTTCCTGTGCTGTTTTGTGATAGTGAATAAGTCTCATGAGATCTGATGGTTTTATAAAGGACAGTTCCCCTTCCTGCCCATGCCCTCTTGTCTGCAACTTTGTGACTTTGCTCCTCCTTTGCCTTCTGCATGATTGTGAGGCCTCCCCAGCCATGTGGAACCATAAGTCCATTAAGCCTCTTTCCTTTATAAATTACCCAGGATCAGATATTTATTCATAGCAGCAAGAAAATGAACTAATACAAGGCCCATAGGATCTGTCATGACAGATCAAGGTGTCTCTGGATATTACAAATGTCCCCTAGGAGCAACACCATCCCTCGAGAACTATAGCTCTAACAGTCAGGAACTCAGGGCCTTTGTGCTGGCTTCCCCTCTCCTTCTGAACCCTGGTTCCTCTGGAGAACCCTGTGGCCACTCCCACATCTCCTTCAAGTCTTTGCTCAAATGTCACTGTCCACAAGTCCCATCCTGACCTCCCTGTTTAAAATAATATCCTTTCCTAACCCCTAATCCAGATACTGCTGCCCTGTGCCTCCCCTCCACCATAATTATTGCTACATTCTAACACACCATCTAACTGATTTCTTAGGCTTGTTATTTACAGTCTGTCTTTCCAAAAGAATGTCAACTCCCAGAGGCAGGAACTCTGTCTGTCCCGCTTGTTCACTGATGGATCTCCAAGTGCTTGAGTAGGCCCTCAAGGTAACTGCTGGCTGAATGAGTCAGGCTATTTTACTAGGGGAAAAGAAAGTTCTTAACTTTTCAAGGGGACACTGGGACTTCAGCTGAGAACTGCATCTTTATGAAATAAAATGCTACAAAATAAACAGCCCACATCACTCAGGAAAGCTACTCTGCTCTGAATGGCACAGCCACTGCCCACCAGAGAGCTGAAGAACTGTCTCCAAACTGCCTTTCCTCCTCCGCTTTCTGCAGCTTCGCAGTAGCAGTAACTCCCAGTGCCTACCTCCCCTGGGTCTCCCAAAGAGCTCTGTTTCCTGAGTAATACTTTCTTAAGGGAGTCCAAAAGAGTGCCTTTTCTTTTTTTTAAAGATGGAGTCTCGCTCTGTCACCCAGGCTGGAGTGCAGTGATGAGTACTTTTTTTTTTTTTGAGATGAAGTTTCGCTCTTGTTACCCAGGCTGGAGTGCAATGGCATGATCTCGGCTCACTGCAACCTCTGCCTCCTGGGTTCAGGCAATTCTCCTGCCTCAACCTCCTGAGTAGCTGGGATTACAGGCATGCACCACCATGCCCAGCTAATGTTTTGTATTTTTAGTAGAGACGGGGTTTCACCATGTTGACCAGGATGGTCTCTATCTCTTGACCTAGTGATCCAACTGCCTCGGCCTCCCAAAGTGCTGGGATTACAGACTTGAGCCACCGCGCCAGACCAAGAGTACTTTTAATTTGTCCTTTCCTTTGGACTGCTTTCTCACTGGACTTCCTTTAGGAAGTTTTCTTTCAAAACAAAACAAAACAACAACTTTAAATCACGTTGACAGAAATGAATGACTCTTTTTTAAAACAATGAGCTGCTTTTGCTACTGGTGATTTCTTTCAATGATAAGCTATTGAAGAGGAAATAAATACAGATGTGCCCAGTTTCAAAAAAAATGCTTGTATAGAAATCAAAACTTATAAGATAGATATATTAGGAGTGATCAATACTAGGCATGTGGCTAATGGTTAATATAAGAGTCATTAATCCTAATATATCTATCTATACAGAATGGTCTTCAAATTAAAACAAAAGAGACTCTTGTTTACAAAAAGACTCACATCATGGGCTCTATTCAATAATTTTAAGTAGGCCATTTATTTAGGAACCTGGGCATATAGAAAGTTAAGATCAATTAACAATCAACTGAAGATCAATCAGAATTGAGGGTAAAAAATTACTGAAATTTTAACATAAGCTAATGGGAAAACATTAGAGTCACAGAAGTTCAAATTATACAGGCTTAGAGACTCATTAATCTATATGTTACATAATTTCATATTAATGGAGTAATAATAAGAATTTGAATCAGCACTTATAGTTTGTTTTTAGCCCTCAATACTTGAAAGATCTTGAAAAACATTTTTCCTCCCTTTTTAAGACATTTTGACCGCAGGGCTCTGTCACAGGCTTTGTTTGCCAGGTAAAAGACAGACATCTCAGGTAGATGGTGAATACACATCATAGCAAATTTGTCCAAACCCATGGCACGTATAGCACCAAGAGTGAACCCCAATGTCAACTATGGACTTTCAGTGATAATGATATGTCAGTGTAGGTTCATCAATCATAATAAATGTACCATTCTGGTGGGAGATGTTGACAGTGGAGGAGGTACTACATGTATAGGGGTAGGGAGTATATGGGAACTCTGCCTTCCCCTCAATTTTACTGTCAACCTAAAACTGCTCTAAAAAATAAAGTCTATATTTTGTTCTTTAAAAAAGGCTTTCTGGCATGTGGCTAATGAAAACTCCTTCTTTTGGTGGAAAATCTCCCTCACACCTTGTTGCTAATGTGGAAATATTTAAGCCTCAAGTTCAGGCCATAGGCAACTCTTATTAAGCTCAAGGTTTTTGTTCCCCTTTATATTCATGAAAAATAGAACAAATGACAAATATTTATGCTGAAAAATTTACATGGATATGAATTCTGAAAACCAGGAAAGGGCAGTATATTTTTTAAACCACAGGGCAAATAGGCCTGCCTCTTTTAATTAAATGAGTTCATTCTTAGAGCCAGCCTCAATTTATGGATGTGAGGCACTTGGGGGCATTAGGAGCCATACTCCTCTGCAGAGGGTGCTAGGCAACCTCACTGAGCCTGTCCTTAATTATTCTGCAGAGGCCTCTCACCCAGCCCAGGCAGGAA